AGTAGGAAAAGGGCATTCGACACAGATTGAGGACTGCGGTGTGGATCTTGCGTGCTATGTTTTGGTACAACTCTTACTGACCCAGTCATTCTCTGAAGACATTTGAGGCTTCTTCACCATTTATTCTAACACCTCAGCTTGAAATCTGGTAACCCAGATGTTTTAGCATAAGCAAGAGCTCCTTCTCATAAACGTTAAAGTATTTATAGAGATTATCTGTAGGTTCAGAAGGAGACCTCGAGCTGGTTGAAATACACGGAGCTTTCCTAGCTGGGATCTGCCTGTGTCAAACAGTTTCAGAACTCCACACCCTTTACAGGTTTATATATTATTTTCTTCCTATTTCTTTGTAGTTCTACAGCGAGAGGAGATATATTGCCTGCAGGGATGCCAGACACTTAGCTTGTGTTTCAATAGACCCAGGCAGAAGCTCAGAGCTACATCAGGGATGTGCTGATTTTCTTTGTATAGGCAACCCCCCAAGTCAGTACATTTTAGACGGGAGCATCCCAACAACTGGAAGAAAATGCAAAGCAAACGCAATAGATGTGGAGGTGCATTCTGGATGCACCAGTTGGCAAACAGGCAACCACCAGGATTTTTGCAGGATTATGAACTACAGATTTTATTGGTTTGGTTTTTTTTCAGACAGATTGAAGCAGAACAGTGATGAAAAGAATCAAACACCCCACACACCAAGAGGAAAATGAACAGCAGGACGAGCGCTTACACGGGAAAATCGCACAGATCAGTGGGTAGCGACTTCAACGCCCATTGGGAGAATTTGGTGATTAAAGGCAGGCAAAGAAGAGGAGAGAAGATCTACAGTCTCTAAGCAGAAGAGGAATGCCAGGGGGTTTTAGTTCCCGCCGCAGCAGCTGTTGCAGCAGCCCCTGTTGTTGTTGCTCATGGTGTAGCAGCAGGCCTGCATGGGCATGCAGTAGGAGGTGGGGCAGCAGTACTGCCTGGGAGAGCAGCACATCGGCGTCTTGCAGCACGAATTCTTGGTGTTGTAGCAGCAGACGGTGTAGTTGTTATTTCCACCGCAGCATCCGCAACCTCCGTTGGGCATGTTGTTGGTAGTGGTGTAGGCAAAGCTGGAAGGAACAGAGAGAGTGTCTTTTTTCTCTGCCTGAATTTCCTGTTGTTTATGCAGCTTAAAGCATCCTCTGGCATATTGTCCAGCACTGGTTCCATCAGAAAGAAGACACCCAGGTTGATTCCAAACCCAATCTCTCAAAACTGGTCCCAAACCAGACAGTACAGGAAATCCTGCATGGCTTCCTGCAAAAGCACACAGAACTACGATAAAGTGCAAATGAAAAGGCAAGCTCTGACTTACCCTGTTGACCAGTGAGGACAAGTGAGGAGAAGTCAAGATGAACGAATGAAGACCACTGTGATGGGGAGCCTTTTATATGCTTCAGAGCCACCCCCCTGGAAATGAGGCATTCCTTGGCAATCCAGGCTTCTCTGTGTATCACCCAGTACGTGCCTCTCACGTGTCTTCCGGTATTTAATATTTACCTCTTTCTGTTTGCTCACCACCTCCATTGTGCACCATAATTAGTTGTACATATAAACAACAGGAGCAAATTTTCTAATGAATTTGCATTAATGGCAGCTGGAAGGTATTCCTACCCGCTTCCCAAGGAATGACCTTGGGACACAGAGACACTTAACAATGCGCCCAGGGGAGGCAGGCGCTGAAGCAGTGGGAGAACCATGCCTGGAACTCGGAAACGTCACCGCTCATGTGTCCCCTCTGCCCTTGTCTGGGATTTTGGGGGGCCAGCGGAAACTGTTGGTCAATGGGAATCCTTTTTTCCTGCCTCTGAGAGGTGGTTGTGTGGTCAAAGTTAAGACTGAAGAGTTTCTCCTTTCTCAGTCTTGTTCGTGGGTGTCCCACTGTGGTGCTTGGTTCTCACACCCCCTGCTTTTTATTTCTGCTAAACTATTAAGATTTTTTTTCATTTTCATCCATGGAAGTCTAAATTAAGCAGCTTTCAAGGAAGTAGTGCACACGTTAGCTTTTTTTCTGTGTTGTTTCCATACACTCCATTTTCTGAGATGATTTCTGAGGTCTGTGAGACCGCAACAGCTTGTACTTAATGGTATTCATTGATGGTCACGTTTCAGAGTTTCACACCAACAGTTTGATTCTGTGTCACTGTAGGCAAACCTGAGATTCAAGACTGGAAATCCAATCCTGAGTGCATTTCTCCATGCCTTTCACCTGTACCTTGGGAGCCCAGCTAGTATCTGACAGATGCTCTGAGTTCAGGCACGTGACAGCACTTTTCCAGTGGTTTTGGCTGCAGTGTGCTAAGGCCAAGGCCGCTATGCATGCAAAGCCTGGGTGAACAGTCAGGACGGAATAGGTAAGATGGTTGGAGTCAAGGCAGATATTACAAAACAGGCTTGGGGATGGGGGAAGGAATTGTGGCCATGGACATCTCCACATGAGAAGAAGAAGGTGTTGATGCAGAAGAAGGTGTTGATGAAGAAGGTGTTGATGGAGTTTTCATCTGATGAGAGGGGACGCCAATATGAGATGAGAGTTCCAAGACGCTGAGGAAGCACCTATTCATGGCAAATAAAGGCTGCCATCATGTTCACCAGACTCTGAATGTGAGGCTGGAGTGGTGGCAGGTGATCCCTGGTGGCTGGGACATGCAGTTTCTTCCCAAGATGTGAACATGACCTCCTATGACGTTGGGTGTCTCTTCTGGAATTGTCCCCAGGGGAACATTGTTTTGGCCATGCAGTAATAACCAGGTACCTGGCTGCAGGAAGTAATGCCCTCTTTGTGTAAACTGTCAAAAATGTCATGCACTGAATAAGTAATTCATTGCCTTTTTCTCAGGGTTTATTGTCGCCATATTGGCCAAGATGATGCCCGTGCTAGAATCATAGAATGGTTTGGGTTGGAAAAGAATGTTAAAGCTCATCTAGTCCAGCCCCTCTACTTTGGGCAGGGGCATCTTCAACTGGATCACATTGCTCAGAGCCCCGTCCAACCTGACCTGGAACATTTCCAGGGATGGGGCATCCACCACCCCTCTGGGCAACCTATGTCAGCGCCTCATCGCCCTCAGTGTAAAAAATTTCTTCCTTCTGAATCTACCCTCCTTTGGTTTAAAACCATCACCCCTTCCCCTAGCACTACAGTCTGTCTCCATCTTTCTTATCAGCCTCCTTTAAGTATTGAAATGCCACAATAAGGTCTCCCTGGATGTTTTTCTTCTGCAGGCTGAACAACCCCAACTCTCTCAGCCCATACTCATAGGAGAGGTGCTCCAGCCTTCTAATAATCTTTGTGGCTTCCTCTGGACCTGCTCCAACAAGCCCATGTCTGTATTAGAAACAGATGTGAACCCTGCAAGGCTGTTGCTAATCTGGGTCTTATACAGATATTGAGGAGATACTGGCGTTTAATGTATAGTTGGGTCAGAAATAACATCTTCTACACTGAATCCCTTTAACTTGCCATGCCATGCCATGCCATGCCATGCCGCGATGTCTTTGTGAACTTCCATGGTGGTTATGTGAATTTGAGAGCTGTAGTACCTTTGTGAACAGGGATGAATCTGTCATGGCAGCTTTCCCAGCATATGATGTAATTAATATTCACATTTCCTTAACAGAATGCCCTTCTGGTATGGTATGGTATGGGATGGTATGGTATGGTATGGTATGGGATGGATGGGATGGGATAAGATGGGGATAGGATGGGATGGGATATCCTTCTGCCAGTGTATTGTACCTGATTTACCTATTAATCAAAAACTCCTAAAGAGCTGAATAATCTTTCCAGGAGAGTCTAATGTGGTAGTGAAGATTATTCTAATGCAGACTTTGTGTATGCTTGGAAGATTTGTATGCTCGGAAGATTTGGTTGAGGGAAGCAATCAAGACAGTGCTCAAGGCATTTTTCTGAGACGTGCAATTGAGAGCTGAGTCCTGAATTTTAATAGTAAAGGAAGCCCCAGCCAGGTAGAAAGGGTATTGTTGACTCATGTGTGTGCTATTTTAGGAATGAAGCTTTTAAGATGTATGCTAACACCTGGGTTTCATTCCAGCGCTTGTAATCCAGGAAAGCCGCACAAGAAGATCTCTGCTCACATAAAAATAATTTGCCGAATTAAAGTGTTTTCTGAAATTTTATTTTTGAAGATGGTAGTGGAAGAAGATGGTGCCTGCTATTCAGTAAGTAGCAAATTCCTCTCGGTACCTATTTGAAAGACCTATTCCAGTATCGGGGATGAGTTCTTGCACATCTTATGGAGCGGTGTGTTTTCAGATGGTGGAATTGTGCATGCTTGGGTTAGCCCGTGTCCTTTGAGTTTTATTGACCTTAACCATTGAGTTTTATAGCAAAAATTAAGCTAACTGAGGCAGGTGATCGCTAGGTTCAAGAACAGATCATACTGCTCTGCTTGCTGTCTTTATGCATGACCTAATTCGTGCCGATGGGAAGTATGGCTGAGCAGCAATATATTGCCTAAACGTTCTGCTGTGCCAAAGGAGCATGTCTGTGGCCAGCAGGATCCTGGCTAAAGGCAGAGAAAACAGCACCAGAATGAGGTCACATTCTGGGCGAAGCGAGGTAAGAACAACCAAAAGAGAAGATTGCGCGTTTTGCTTAATGCCAAGTTTTATTGTCTACGAGTCAAGAGAGAAAATGAAGAATGATCACGTTAACAGCAAAGGTATCCCAAGTCCCATACACCAAGAAGAGAATTAACAGCCCCGCTAATATCTAATAGCTCTTTGCCTTGTGCAGTGGGGGATATATTCAAATGCACTGCAGATGTTCAGTAATTAAAGGACGGAAAGAAGACAGCTTAAGTTTGAAAACAAGAAGAAAATCACCGGGTGGTCACTCCATTGTCACGTGAACCAGAAGCAAGTGAGCAGCTTTTTGTCTCCTTGTGCCTGTTCTTGTTGTACGCATGAGACGGGAGCCAGCAGAGCTGCTTTTGCTACCCAGCGTTGGCTCAGCAACCCTTCTTGATTGTGGTGCAGCACTGCTGGATGGGGATGCAACACTTCCTCGCGGGAGAGCAGCAGGGGCTGTAACACACCACAACCGGCTTCTTCTTCACCACATAAGAGCAGGAGGACAGACATCCAGAGCAGCAGCAGGGGTGGCAGCCACAGCAGCAGCAGGGACGCTGGCCACAGCAGCAGCAGGACTTCTGGCACACCTTGGTGCAGCAGACGGACTTCTGGCATGGGTTGCAGCAGGGCTTCTGGCACGGGTCGCAGCAGGACTGCTGGCACGGGTCACAGCAAGGCTTCTGGCAGGGGTCGCAGCAGGACCGCTGGCACGGGTCGCAGCAGGACTGCTGGCATGGGTCACAGCAGGGCTTCTGGCATGGGTCACAGCAGGATTGCTGGCAGGGGTCACAGCAAGGCTTCTGGCACGGGTCACAGCAGGACTGCTGGCACGGGTCACAGCAGGGCTTCTGGCATGGATCACAGCAGGACTGCTGGCATGGGTCACAGCAGGACTGTTGGCACGGGTCACAGCAGGGCTTCTGGCATGGATCGCAGCAGGACTGCTGGCACGGATCACAGCAGGACTGCTGGCACGGGTCACAGCAAGGCTTCTGGCATGGGTCGCAGCAGGACTGCTGGCATGGGTCGCAGCAGGACTGCTGGCATGGGTCACAGCAAGGCTTCTGGCATGGGTCGCAGCAGCGGGACTGCTGGCATGGGCTGCAGCAGACAGACTTCTGGCATGGGTCGCAGCAGATGGTCTGCTGGCACGGCTGGCTGCAGCACACTGTTTTGCTCCTCACGACAGAGCAGCACCCGGTTGAGCAACATCCGCTAGAGCACATGTTGTTTGTAGTGTAGTCAGGGATGGAAGGAGCGAGGACCTGAAAGAGAGCGTACTTTCAGATACGACCCATCTTCCCACGTATAGAGACGTGTTTTATTTTGGCAGACAAATGCTTCTGTCTAGGCCCATGGGTGACAGTGATATCACACACTGCTTCCTATTTATTTGTCTTGAGTTGCAAAAAAAGACCTTTACAGAAATCAAGCTGCCCGCCACTATCCCAGCAATATTTGTGCATCTTCTGAACTATCCTGGGAACTAACTTTCCTGTGCTCATCCATGATCACTGCCTGAATTTCCATCCCAAGAAGCATATTTTCCACTGTGCTCTCTCTCCCAACGGTCTTTTGCAATAAGCAGTAGACCACCAGGCTAGGAAAATCTGGATTGCAGAGAGAACTGTAGATCATAGAATCATAGAACCATAGAATTATAGAATCATAGAACAGTTTGGGTTGGAAGGGACCTTTAAAGGTCATGTAGTCCAACACGCTCTAAAGATCAAACACAAAGACACATTTCAATTTGTTGCTTGACCAAACCCAAGTGAGAACCATTGCTATCAAGGAACAGTGCTAATAGGTAACACTTACCGTGCCAACTGAGTGGTGCAGTTGAGTGAGGAGCAAAGGGACGGGGAGACCTTTTATTTAGCCCGAAATTGTCCTGCCGGAAATGAGGTACCCCACAGCAATCCGTGATTTATGCACTAAGCCTATACTTATTTGTTGAATGTGCCTTCATCTGTTTAGTCTTTGCCTCATCGTTTTTGACCAACCCCCCAATTTTGTGTTATTATCAATTTGTTCTGTAAATTTTTTACAATTTTTTAATGTCAAGTTAATTCTTGTGTGATGCCTGTGAATGTCTTTAAAGGATCTTCCTGCTCATTTTGCATATGGGAACGCTGTTACATTGAGATGCTAGGTGGCTTGTTCAGAGCTAGTGAGTGCCCAATTAACATAAAAATCATAATTAAGCTTGAGGAGCAGTGGATTCCAGAGGCATGCAGAGGCCTTCTGGACGTCAGTCACTCCTCAATATGATTTTTTTTCAACAGAACTCCAGCAAGTGGAATTCCATGGCCACGTGTTTTGTTTTTGAATGCAGAAATGGTGAAGCCCGAGGTCCTTCTTTGGGGTCTCTGGTCATCAGGAGGACAAATATGTAACAGAAAGTTCTTGACATCTCATCCCTTGCTGCCTCATCCCATCCATGCATGGGAAAATGCATGCCCCGGGCCTTGCCAATATCAGAAGTTTTAGGTGCAAAGAACTGTGCAAATTCATCATGGAAATTTGGAATAGACTTTGGGTCAAGTTGGAGTCCATCTTTTTTTTTTTCAATTAGTTTTTGACATCTTTAAATAAAAGCAAAACTCAAAACTTTTCTGGAAGTTTTACATCCTGTTTCTGCTTAGCACAACTCGATCTGCAAAATTCTATTCCATATTTTTAAGTCGTAGCATGCCCTCGAGTAACGAAAGATCCACCTACGGATGTTATTTCTTGAATAATTCGGTGCTCAGTTCTCAGTCACCCATTGGCAGTCATTAGTGCTGATGTTAATGATCACGTTGCAATTATTCATTAATGATGTTAATATTTATTTTGCATGAAAGCCTGAAGGCCTCACATGATGCCCTGAGCATCTTTAGGATTTCAAATTAAATGGCGTCTTTTTAAAAAATTATCTCTCTCCGGTCAGATGGAATTCACGGGACCCAGGACCATGACTGACGTGATGAAATGTTTCGTTTCTGAGATCACCCCAAAGAGGACGGCCGCTCCCACTGCTATGGGGCTGTACATCTGCAGGAGCAGAGCACCGAAGGACCTTTGAGCACCCTCCCCTGCAGCCCACAGCTTCACTGGAGATACCCTGATTTATGCTGAGGTGAAGAAGAGAAGATTCAGGCTGTTTGTATTCCTACAGAAACACAGCGTGATCCAGATCACAGATGCTGAAGACAGGATAGGTCCTCGTGAACGTTCAGTTTGCCTTCTGGTGACATAAAGCATCTGTTTCCACTCAGTTTCTGCAGGGTAGCTACTGGTTTTAGTTGGCCACATCCCAGCTTTTAGAAAGCTACCCAGTCTTGCTTTGAAGAATTCAAAGGACCATGAAGTCATCGCTTCTCCAGGCAAGCTCTTTCCAAGGTCAATGTTCCCGTCCATAGGCTGCATTTCCTATTGACTTTGGCTTCATGCTAACGACCGGGTTGGACTAGGTCACTGCCACACATTATAATCTAATTAGTGATAGAGATTTACACCAGCTGAGCACCTGCATCTCAGCTAGCAATAAAGGAGGCTCGTGGCAACCTGGGGTGATTTCCGAGTTGAGAGGGTATTTCTGAGCCTCAAGAGAAACAGCAGGAGACTCTGACAGAAACGTAGGGGATCCTGAGCAGTGAGGTAACGTAAGAGATGTTGGTCAAAATGAGGCAGTTTTCTGCATGATTTTGCAGATCTGATCCATTGCTTCATCCTGTGTCCCTCTGAGTCAAAAAAAAAACCCTCACTGCTGCTGTTAGAGCTGGATGTGAACATCAGAGATGTCTAAAGCCATGTGAGACAGATCCGAGGCAGCTGGGAGACCCATAAATGATTTTACAAGAGGAGTTTTACACAAGAAATTATTCAAATTAGATCCAAAAAAAAGGATCCCAATTACATTTTGCATTGAGTGAATGAACTTAGCAGCCTCCGTAAGATCCCCAGGGTAGAACCACTCTGTTTGGATATGAGAATTACGGGTGCAGTGAAGCAATCCTTGCTGTAAAACAGTCAAGGCAAATTCCTCCTCATTAATCCTTAGGGTTTTGCTCGTGTTTTAGCCTGGTGGTGGAAATCCGCTGTCACGTTACTTAACACACGCTCAGCAGAGCAGAAACGTTCCTCTAAGCTATCTAGCATGTTAAGTGTAGAGGACTTCTCTTGCCAAATGTCTATGGTCTCTGATTTAAAAAAAAAACCAAACAACTCTAATGAGGTAAAGCATTCATAAAAGCTTTGGTCCTTGATGTTCCAGGTGTCAAACCTCTCCAGGGCTGACAAAAGCATAAAATAGAATAGAATAAAATAAAATAAAATAGAATGGAATAAAATAGAAAAGAAAATTAAAAAGAAACAAACCAAGCTTCGTTCTTGTTTCCCCACTATTGCTGCCATTTCTCATCCTCAAGCTAACGGGAACTTCAAGCTCGAGCCCAGCAGAAAGTGCAACAAGTTCAGAAGCTTTGTGCCTTCCGTGGGACTTGGAGAAGGAAGAGGAAGTAAAAAGTGCTGAGATTAGTCACAGGAGAGAAAGTTGGAGGCCTGGGGCAGCAAGGGAAAGTGAACGTATATACCTGAAAACCAACCCGCTCCTATGGACGGAAAGCCTTCCTGACTCAATGCCCAATTGCAGAGAGGTGAAGAACGGGTAAGGAAAAGAGTTTTTAATGTAGCTGCCAAAGGTCGCATGCAAATGAGCCATCTTTTAGCAATGGCAGCAACCTGAAGGTAGGTGAGTAAGCGATTGCTCTTTGCATCCTGTTTGCAACTTTTCCTTTTTAGCAAGGCTCTTCCTCTGCAATGACAATTTTCCCCGTAACCTATAAATAACTAATTCCAATTACTTATATACCGACTGGTTATTTACTGGGTACACGCCAGCCTCTTTCCCACGCCTGCCCTGGGATGGATGAATCACGCTGGGGAAACCTTCTCCTATTTTACCCTGTAGAAATTGTTGAATTGAAGGTGTTCCAAGGCAGGTTCCAAACCCTGCAGGATTTGCTTTGTTTTGTTTCCAAATATAGCAGAGGATTTTAAAGATTGCATCTGCAGTAAAAACATGAACGTGCAGGCCAGGCCTCCAGCTGCAACTCTGAAACCCCCACTGCCTATGCTGAGCTCAGTACAAATACTCGGCTTCACCAGGAATTAACTCGACGTGTTTCTCCTAGCCCTCTGCGTGCGGTGCAGTGGTCCTGGCATCACTGGTGGGTGCCGCAGGCATTTTCCTTGACTTTCCTGTTTTCTTGATGTTCCTCCTACTTGAGCTATTTTCACCAGTAATTAAAACGCGGCTCTGAAACCACGAGAAAAACCAGATGCTGCCGGACAAGCAGATATGATGGAGCGGTGACTAAAAACATCCAGAACTGTTAGGTAGGCTTGAAACATAATTTTTATTGTCTTGCTGGAGAATGAAGCAGCAAAGCAAGAAGGGAACTCTTCCCAGCAGGCAGCGGGCTTTGCATTGGCAGAAAGAAGAGAAACAACTCAAAGCTCATTAAATCATTTCAAAAGTGCTTGCAGAGAAGCGGCATGGCTGGCAGGCGATGAGCAAGGGGATGAGCTCAAGGCTTCGGGCAAGGAGCGAGCCGGTGGGTCCAGGTGCCGGGGCCGGATCCTGCTGCTAGTACTTGGGGCATGGTGGCAGCTTGCAGATGTTCTTGGTGTACTGGGGGCAGTAGGGGACCGGGGGGCAGTAGCGTTGCACAGGA